TTTTTTTTTTGTCTTAGTTGATGACCCACTTCATGAGCCACTGTTGGTCTTAAGATTTGAGTTCAACTCGGCTCACTTGATACATGAGTCAAGTTCGGCTCATTAAAGATACATTTACAGTTCAACCACTAAGATCAATTGGATATATTTTTAGTTCAAATTCATTTAACCTATCAATTTAATTTTTCAATTTTTTTATATTACTAATTAATCATAAATCCATAACCACAAACTTATAGAAAAATTATTGTTTACTCAATTACATATTTATAACTACTAATACTACTCCCCCATCACAATTCACATCATAAAATATATTTTTATTTTTTACATCACATAATAAAATTATTATTTTATTCCATTACTATTCTTTTTTACAACAACAAAAACATAAATCCCATCCAATCACAACTTGATAGTTTTTGGTTATTCTCCTCTTGGGAGCTTTTCGTTATTCTCCCGTTTGGAGCTTGTTAGTTTGTTGTGATATGGGTGAGTTAGTGTAGTTGACTCTAGGCTACCTCCGGGTAGGCCTCCTAGATTCAGCTGTGTGGCTGCTTGACTATTTTAGCTGATGTCTAGTTGTAATTAAGTGGTTTTATTTTGGGTTAATTGCATAAAAAACCACCACATTTTTATTTAATTGCAAATAAAACTCAACATTTTCAATTTGGCAAAAAAATACCCAACTTTTATTAAGTGTTGTAATTTTGTCTCGTCCGCCGGACCGCCGCCTCCAACCGCCACCCGCCGCCCCCAACTTTGCCGGATATTGAAAATTTTTATATGATCTCGTAGCTCTCCTCCGTGCCAACAACATATCCGAGTTTCACGAAAAAATTTCGACGATAAGACGTCCAATTTTTCGGTCAAGGGTTGAGTTTTATTTACAATTATACAAAAGGTGGTGATTTTTTTTATGTAATTAATCCTTTTATTTTCTATATAATTCTATCGTCGAAAAAAAAATCCAATCACAACTTTAAAAAGTGAATAACAAGAAAAGGCAGGGGTATTTTCGGTAATAGGCATTATTAAGCCAATCGACACGCCATGAAAACCCTAATCCCCCCCTCATTGGGCCGCCGTGATTGCGTCTATAAAATCCCACCATAACCACCGTCTTCCTCCCAAATGTGTTCGCAGCCTGCAGCAAATCTTGCTCAATTTCTGATTTTCTTCTGTATTTCTTATTTTTGCTGTTAAGTCCTTATTCAGTTCCTATTTTATTTTTTGGTACCTTTTGATGAAGAGCAGAGACTGTGTGTATCGGCGCTGTGCGAATCAAAATGCACTCTGATCGAAAGTATTCTCTGCGAAAGCGATCTCTCGGAGAAGATGGGCAGTTGTTTTTCATTTCTTTTTACCCCTTTGAAAATTTTCAACAATCATCTTCCCCACATAAATATTATTTTGTTTTCATTTTATTTTTATTAAATAACTTCATTTTTTTCATTTTTTTTCTTATGGAGATTTAATTTTTATTTTAATCCATAAAATCTGGAGATTTTTTTTTTTTTTTTTTT